CGTACGGTGTCGAATAATTTGGTGTCGAATAAATCTGTGTCGAATCGAGCGGTGTCGAATCGTACTGTGGTCAAACGGAACACGCCCCTTTTTTCATATACGCAGCACGCTGCGGCAGCAAACGTCACGTGACCCAAATTTGTTAAAACTGCTTTTGCTACTTTATCTCATTTGATGTCATTTTCTGCGTTAAGGTGATGGAATTTTATATAGTACTATTGCACATAAAATTCCATCAACATAACGCAAAAAATGGCATCGAATGAGGTATAATATTAGAAGCAGTTCTAGACAATTTGAGTCACGTGACGTCTACTGCCGCAGCGTGCTGCGTATATACTTAAAAAGGTAACTTACGACAGTTGCAATATCGCTTAAGATCGTGCGATCGGCTACTTGCGCTCAATGTAGAACGGGCTTTAAATGTTAACCTTTAGAGGGCCGGAATTTGAGAGGGCATATCCGCCTTAGTAAAGTAACCATACACTAAGTGTCGATCATGGGTAGCGCCAATATATTGGCTTTCCGGTCCGGAAGGGATCGGCCCGCATATAAAATTTTTTTCACATCAATTTGGAAGTATAACTATGCGTTTCCGATGTATTTTTTGACGTAGAATCTAAATCTGATGTCAAAAATACAATAAATATGAAAACAACCCTTATAAAATTACAAAAACTACCCTTTCTATCACGCAATTTTAATTTTTTTTTGTTGAAAGTGCAGATATATGTTTCCGATGTATTTTTCGATGTAGAATCAAAATCCAATGTCAAAAACACAATACACTTGGACATAACCCCTATAATATTACAAAAACTACCCCTTTCATCACGTATAATTTTGAAACACCCTCTTCTTTTGAACACGGGCTTGGGACCGTCTGTGGCAGAATTATGTTTCTTTTTTTTATTTTAATTGTTTTTGGTTTTGGTTTTTATTTTTTTTTACTTTTTTGTTTTTTAAATTTTTTTTATTTTTTATTTTTTATTTTTTGATCAATTTTATAATTTTTTGTTTTTGTTTTTTTTATTATTTTCTGATTTTTTTAAAATTCTTTTATTGTTTTTTTTACTTTTATACATTACGACAATGATCGTTTAATGTGATAAATTGTAAAGCAAGATTTAATGCATAAAGTTTTACAACATTTTTTACACTCATATGATGATCGACTTCTCTTTTTGTGTATAGTGCATAAAACACATTGACGTGATAGCGTTTTACCATTATTTGAAGCTTAACTTTTTCTGGGAAAATGTCGTCCATTCAGTCTAAGATCAAGCGATGTAAATGATGAAACTCCTTTAGAATTTACTTGCAAAATATTTCTTACGACGCTTAATCGAAAATCAGGAAACAAAATCGCATTTTTAGTGAGTATCTTAAATAAACTGTGGGCATTTATCAACATCAAATCAATTAAAGAAAAAAACAATTTTCTATACCATTTCATACATTTTCTAATAGATTTTGTCAAAAATAATTGTCTGTCGATATCATCGATTTTACCCATATTTTTATTATAATCCACGATACAAATAGGTTTTATAATATCTTCATTTTGTAGTTTTTCCTACCAGTTTTACAAAACTGGTGTTCGTGAATACTTGTCAATACATAAACTTCTTTTTTATTCATCTATTTGATTACCATCCAAGAATCGGTGTGGGCAACTTCTGTTTCACCACAATCTAGCTTTGAACTGAGAGTTGGCATTTCTTTACGATTTTTTTTTACAGTTCCACAAAGACCAGTATTTCTGTCATGTAAGTAGTCTGACAGTTGTGGAGATGTATATCAATTATCAGTGTATGACACACGCCCTTCGTTACAATAAGGTTGCATGAAATGTGCAACAATATCACCAGAAACGCCTAAATCAAATTTTTCATAATCAGTGTCTGAGCCAGTATATACTATAAAATCTAAGAGAAATCCTGTTTCGCAGTCCGCTAATTCAAATCTCTTCATACCAAATCGGTGTCTCTTCAATGGTAAGAATTGTTTGAATTTTAGCTTCCCTTTCCATAAAACTAAATTTTCGTCAATGCAAAGCTTTTCACCAGCAATAAGAATATTACCAAACTTTTCTTTCAAATGATCTATCACTGGTTTGATTTTTTTCAAAGGATGATTGGAAACTTCTTTATTATTAGAAAAGTGAAGGTATCGTAAACTTTGAAGATATCTATTTCGAGATAGACTTTTGCCGTATATTGGAATGTACAGCAGTGGATCTTGGCTCCAATAATCCTTTAGTTGCCCTTTTACAACATGACCCATGTTTATTAATATAGCAATCATTATCCATAATTCGTCTTCAGTGATAGAAGTCCACGGCTTCATATGTATTTGATCCGGTTCGGGATTTTGTTCTTGAAAAAGATTGGTTTGTTCTACAATCAAATTTACAAGAAATGTATTTAAAAAATATTTCAAACATTCTAATAAAGTAGGTTCGTCTAGAGACACGTGATCACAAATACGTGCTTCACCAGTAAAAGTTTTTATAGATGAGTAAAAATAAGGATCATAGTGTACATCTGGTATATTCTCATCACGTTCGTTATCAAGTAAATCAACATCACAAGCAATAGTTCTGTCTGTAATAACATCTTCTTTAGGCTCTGACTCTCCACTCCTCCAAGCTTCGTCATTACCTGTATTCATTGTATAGCAAAAGTAATAAAGTACGAGGAAGATAAAAAGTAACGGAAAATGTTGTATCAACACAAGTAAAAGAAATAAGTGTATCTCGAGCCTGACCTAACAGAGAACGCAAGGCGACAGGTGCTCCTACGCGCCGTTTTCACGTATGGCAAGGACGGACGATAAACGGACAGGCCTAATCACGAAATATATTTTTGATCTGCTATTCACAATTTTGCCAAATTGTTGTACTAATAAATAGCAACTTCAAAACCTCCAAATAAAAATAAATTTGTTTATAATTGCAGCCGCACGCGAATCAAGCCATGTATTTGTTTTAGAATATCTCACATGAAAATTAGGGCTACGGGATGGGGGAGGGACGGGCACATTGACATTAAATAATATTAAAAAGTGCTAATAATATTAAAAACATTAATATCTAATAAAAAAAAGAAAGTGAACAGGTCATTCTGGTGCGCCAAAATATTGGTTTTTCGGTTCTCTAAAGGTTAAGGCGCTCGCAAAAAGAACGCGGTAACCAATAAGCAGTTTTGTTTTTATGAAAAATATGCTGCTTTTTCATGAAAGAATAAAATGGTTTGTGGCTACCGCATTGCGCGGAAAAGCCATTCTACATAAACCACAGTCCAGCTGCTTTGTGCGCATACGAGTACATTTTTTAGAACATATGCGTATCATGCTGTACGTTTATTTTTATATTACCTATGTATCACTGTTGATGTTTTTTTATTTTTATATTGCGAATGTACTCCATGTTTTAATGTATAAAAAATTGGAACACTTTATTTGATTAATAAATTAAATATAATACGTCTTTGACTACACAGGTGTTTTTATTGTACTCATATTGTTACAAGCACATATCTTTGTAGATTTGGTAGTCAATATTATATGTAATTTGACTATCTCATCTAAATATATACAACTCAGAAGTCATAAATAATTTCTATAATCAAGAGGCACGGTAGTGCCTCGCGCCAAGTTACGCGCAACAAATGCGCGCGCGGCGCGAAGTTTCCGTATCTTATTTACGCGAGTGCAATCAAATTACATTTTTGAATTTTCGAATCTCAACATTGGTTAAATTGATTAAGTTATAAGTAGGCTCATGTGAAAATTGCGTTTTTAGTACTCCTTATCAATTTTAAAGTTATTTTCTCCGTCTTTTTGCAACAGAAATATGATCTTGTAAAGTCCGTTTTTTTGGAATTGTCATTTTTAGAAACGTCCACGTCGTCGTCAGACAGTGGCGTGAATCTGCAAAGAGACTGCTGCATGAATCTGCAAATTTATTTATCAGAGTGCGTAATGATAGAGCGTGAATTTCCGTTTGGTATTATCATGTGGCGACATTTTTTTCTGTCCACATAAAGCCGATTTTGGTTTAGTAAACAAGAAAATATAGTTTAAGTTTATAAATGTACATGTAATACAAATTATGTTTAATATATGTATTATGTTTGATCATAATTAAAAATATAGTAAATATGTATACAATAAAGAAAAACATAAGAAAAAATATAAATAAATAAAAAGAGTTTATAAATGTATGTACATGTATATAAGACATATCTGTGTATTAACGATGCATGCATGCACACAAACACATAAACGTGCATTTACGGCAATAAACATTGTGTCGTGTAAAACTGTCTGTAACTGTAAAGTTGCTGTGTTCATCAATGAAGTTGCTGTGTTCATCATCAACGATTATCGATTGTATGCTTTGAATTACATACATATAATGTTACAGTTGAATTACGTGTTTTTGGCGGAACCTCAAACGTAATAAATCGTTGGCCAGTAAACTAGCCATACGCTATATTAGTGTTTTCTTGCGCAGATAATAGACAAGAAGTAAGAATAAAATAAACATATTACATCAGTTACTTATGGTTCTTACGTTTTTATTGCAGTTGTCACAGTGTTAGCGTGTTTCTTTGCAGCTGTCAAAGTGGTAGCGTATTTATTATTTATAGTCCTCTTTTTCATTTTTTAAAGTACGGTATGTTGTTTAGTAATGTTTATGTATATAAAATAGTTATGATTTTTAACATAATATTTTTTATTTCAGGTTAATCGTGATAACTGTTATAAGTCAATTATATTGGCTGCTCCGGCGCCGTGTATTGGCTGCCTTAAGCGCTAATTCAAAATATTGGCTGCATTTGCGCTAACTCGTGGCTTGTTATAAGCAGCTTGAAAAAATAATAAAGAACGATATTTTATTATTTTACACATAAAATTGTGTATATACAATTTTATCATTACATATACATATCATTTCTTAATGTTTTTAAAATGTTCGGGAACAAAGAAACTTATTTTTCTCTGCCAAAATATGAAAAAAATGTACTAGTTCGAGGTGAATGGCTTACTGACGTCCATATGGATCTAATTGGCTGTATCATACAAACTTATTCAAATTATAAACCTGTTGTTATAAGTGAATTGAAATGTCTTCATACAATAAAAAGCATACCAATAAATACAAAGCATATACAAATATTGCATAGTGATTTGCATTAAGTATGCAGTTATTATGATACAAAAAACATATGTATCTACGATTCATTAAATAAAAAACAGTTGCATGAACAGCATAAACAAGTTTTACAAAAATTATTTTCAAATCATTTTGAAAAGAAATGTCCTATTATATTTCCCACAGTGCAACAACAACTAAACGGGAATGATTGTGGTGTTTTTGCAATAGCCTTTGCAATATCTTGGTTATATGATACCTGAGACAGTTACATATGATCATAGTTTAATGCGTACACATTCATTAAGAATTTTTGAAACAAACATAATTGGTTATATGATACCTGAGACAGTTACATATGAGCATAGTTTAATGCGTACACATTTATTAAGAATTTTTGAAACAAACATAATTGAACATTTCCCTCAGAATCCACATAGCATTCAACAAAAGGTGCTGCCATTGGCAGTAATAAAAGACAAAAAATCTTGAGCAGCATTAATGCGTGCACATCGTAAAAGTCTAAAAAAATTTTCAAATCCTTCTGAAAAGAAAGAAAATAATAATGATCAATCCAAAACGCAATGTGCTTTATATTCAAAGAAATGTATAGATCTAACTTTGATCAATCATATTAATTATATATTAACAATTATCAACAAATGTCTGTTAATTAAGAATGCTAATAACTATGAAAATAATACTACCTGCAAAAAAAATAATAATATTGATAATGTTAGTAACTATAACAGTGATAATAAGAGTAATGCTATCGAGTATAATAATAAAAAAAAGAATAATTCATTTTCTAATACAAAACGAAATAATACTATTTGTATTAAGACTAACAACTTCAAAAGTAATAATGAAAGTAATAACAAAGAAAACAATATAAGTAAAATTTATAATACTGAGGAATCTTGCATACAAAATTTTGAAGACAAGTGCAGTAAAAAACGTTGCCATCAAGACGACATTTTGAAACATACTCTCTCTACAAAGAAATGTCGATATAAACAAACCTTGAAATTACCAACAAGATATGTATAAGGCCATACGAGCCATTCTCAAGATGTTTTGAGTAGAAATTTGTACGTGTATATATATACATACACATGTAACGAATTCAACTTGTAACTTTTTACAAATGAGTGTTTTTTGAGTTGAAATCTCAATTCTTAAAATCATACGGGATGCCAGATTTGCATCTCACATATGACAGACCCCGGATACCCCCCTAACTAATTTTAAAATTTTGCGAAAAAAACTCCGGCCAGGAGTCGAACCTGGAATCTCCGGCTTTCCGTGCCATCGCCTTCCTTGTTAGGCCACCGAGGCACTTGGAGTTAGTTTCGCAATATACATATATCAAAGATGGTCTGATAATGTTGTTTAACGCATTCTTCAGCCAGCGTAATTTTAAACAATTATGACTTAAGGCTCGTGAAATTACCAACAAGATATGTATAAGGCCATACGAATCATTCTCAAGATGTTTTGAGTAGAAACTTGTACGTGTATATATATACATACACATGTAACAAATTCAACTTGTAAATTTTTACAAAATTTTTTTTTTAAATTACGCTGGCTGAAAAATGCGTTAAACAACATTATCAGACCATCTTTGATATATGTATATTGCAAAACTAACTCCAAGTGCCTCAGTGGCCTAACAGAGAAAGCGATGGCACAGAAAGACGGAGATTCCAGGTTCGACTCCTGGCCAAGGAGTTTTTTTCGCAAAATTTTAAAATTAGTTAGGAGGGTATCCGGGGTCTGTCATATGTGAGATGCAAATCTGGCATCCCGTATGATTTCAAGAATTAAGTTTTCAACTCAAAAAAACACTCACTTGTAAAAAAAAAAAAATTTACAAGTTGAATTCGTTACATGTGTATGTATATATATACACGTACAAGTTTCTACTCAAAACATCTTGAGAATGGCTCGTATGGCCTTATACATATCTTGTTGATAATTTCACGAGCCTTAAGTCATAATTGTTTAAATTTGTTTGCAATATCCCGGTTTTTTAATGTGGAACCTGAAACAGTTGCTTACAATCATAGTTTAATGCGTTCACATTTATTAAACATTTTTGAAACAAACGTACTTAAACATTTTCCTCAAGATCCATATGGTGTTCAACAAGAGATACCATCATTGGCAGAAATACAAGAAATACAAGAAACAGAGGACTTCCGTTTCCGGAAGTGAGATAGTAAGAGGTGTTTGTGAGAATAGAGATAGTTTTTTTGATAGTTTTGGGTGGATAACAACCAGTGGTGAGTGAGTGTGTTGTAGGTGTGTGAGTGGAGAATAGCGAGAGGTGAGTGAGCATTTAGGTGGAGGCGAGGGTGACCAAAGGAGTGTGGAAAGGAGGGTGAAAGGGTGACGAGGGGTTGGGAGGTTAAGTTGGAAAAAGGAAAAGGCGGACCGAAAGTATAGGGTGTAGAAAGTGCGGAAGGAGTAGAAGGTGTAGGGGCCTAGTGAATTCTAGGGAATTTGG